AAAGAACCCAAGAAGGGCTCCCACAGGACAAACAGAACATCCCACAGCAAGGTACAGAAAGAAATCTTGACCTTGAGGCTCTCTTAAGCATGAAAAGTCTCTTACACAACCAAAGGCTTTCCAAAACTGGCAGAACTTCCTCCTCACATTGCAAGCTCCATCCCTCTCAGCCAGAAATCAGAGAACCAGGAGGCCATTAGACATAGGGATGGAGCAGGAGGCTTGGGAGAAGAATGAGTTTTGCTTTTTCCCATAGACATGGGCTGGGAATGAAATGCTTCTGCACCTTTCCAGAAGGCTAAAAGACTCCACTCCAAACCTCGTGCTGATATTTTTGATACCCCCTTACTAAAGACTCCAATGTTCCTGACCCTGACATTAATCTGAACACCTACGAATAGATGATTTTCAACAAAGAAGCCCAAACACTACAATGGAAAAAAGAAAGCATCTTCAACAAATGGTGCTGGCATAACTGAATGTCAACATGTAGAAGACTGCAAATAGATCCATATCAGTCACTGTCCACAAAACTTAAGTCCAAGTAGATCAAAGACCTCAACATAAATCCAGTTATTCTAAACCTGATAGAAGAGTAAGTAGGAAGTAAGAGAAGAAGAGAAAGTCTTGAACGCATTGGCACCACAGATCACTTCCTAAATATAACACCAGTAGCACAGACACTGAGAGAAACAATTAATCAATGGGACCTCTTGAAACTGAGAAGCATTTGTAGAGCAAAGGACATGGTCAATAAGACAAAATAACAGCCTATAGAATGGGAAAAGATCTTCACCAACCCCATATCTGACAGAGGGCTGATATCCAGAATGTATAAAGAATTCAGGAAAATAGACATCAAAACACGAAACAGTCCAATTAAAAATGGGCTATAGAGCTAAACAGAGAATTATCAACAAAAGAAGCTCAAATGGCTGAAAGACACTTAAGGAATTGCAGCATCCTTAGTCATCAGGGAAATGCAAATCAAAACAACTCTGAGAGACCATCTTACACCTGTCAGAATGACTAAGATCAACAACACTGAACACAGCTTATGTTGGAGAAGAAGTAGAGCAAGGGGAACACTCCTCAACTATTAGTGAGAATGCAAACTTGTACAGCCACTTTGGAAATCAGTATGGTACTTTCTCAGAAAATTGGGAATTGATCTCCCTTAAGACCCAGCGATATCACTCTTGAGCAAATACCCAAGGAATGCTCAATCATACCACAAGGACACATGCTCAACTATGTTCATAGTAGCCTTATTTGTAATAGCCAGAACTTAGAAACAACCTAGATGCCCTTCAACTGAAGAATAGATAAAGAAAATGTGGTACATATACACAATGGAGTACTACTCAGCAGAGAAAAACAATGACAACATGAAATTTGCAGGCAAATGGAGGGAACTAGAAAAAATCATCCTGAGTGAGGTAACCCAGACTCAGAAAGACACACATGGTAGCTACTCACTCATAAGTGGATACTAGATGAAAAGCAAAGGATAACCAGACTGCAACTCACAGCTCCAGGGAGGCTACCTAGTAAAGAGGACCCAATGAAAGACACAGGATTGCCCAACAATGGAGAAATGGATGAGATCTACATGAGCAAACTGGGGTTGAGAAGAGGTAATGGAGGGCAGGGGTCAGGAGAAAGAGAGCTTAGGGGAGCAGAAGGTCCTAGCTGGATCAGGAACAGAGTGGGAAAACAAGGAAAGAGATATCATGATAAATGAAGACACTACGGGAATAGGAAGATGCAGAGTGCTAGAGAGATCCCCAGAAACCCACATAGATGACTCCACTATAGACTACTGGCAGTGGTTGAGAGGGTGCCCGAGCAGACCTACACTGGTGATCTGATGGCCGAACACCCTAACTGTCATGATAGAGCCCTCATCCAGGACAATGGAAGCAGATGCAGATTTCCTCAGCCAATCCCCAGGTGGAGTCCCAGGAGTCCAATCCAGAAGAGAGAGGAGGGATCATGTCAGCAAGAAAGAGATAACAAGACCATGATTGGGAAAAGTACAGAGAGAACTAGGCAAACTATTGGAAACACATGAACTGTGTCCAATAGCTGAGGAACCCTCATGGAACTGGATTAGGCCCTCTAGATAAGTGAGACAGTTCTGTAGCTTGAACTCTTTAGGAGGACCCCAGGCAGTGGGACCCAAACCTGTCCTTACTACATGAGCTGGCTTTTTGGAACTTACTGCCTGTGCTGAGACACTTAGATCAGCCTTGGTATAGGGAAAGGGGTTTGGACCTTCCCCAACTCCAGATACCAGGCTATGCTGACTCCCCAGGGAAGACCTTGCCTTGGAGGAGGTGGAAATGAGGGGTGGGTTGGGAGGGAATGCTGGAGGTAGGAGCAGGGAGGACAGGGAATTCCGTGGTTGAAATGAAAAACAAATAGAACATCCCTTAATAAAAAAGAAAAATATATATAAATATAAAAAATTCATTTGTGCTGGCTCTTTTGAAATTATTGCTGTGAAACAGACTTGCCTTATTGAGTTACAGAAATTGGAAGGCATTCTTGCTGTCCATCTGACCCTTTGTGACAAGATAAGTATTGATCAGGCTGCTAATATTCTTCAATGATGAACAAATAATCAGTTATACAAGGGATGTTGGGAAATTGGGATATCCAGGTAAAAGAATGAAGTTAAGCCTTCACTAACAACATATACAAATCAGCTCTACACGGATCAAAGATCAGAGCTGAAGGTCATCAGACTTTTAGGAGACAGGATGAAAACATCTTGAAACTGGATTTCAAATGATGTCTTTGTTATGATGCCAGATGCATCATTTGGACCTTTTGACTGCTTGTATGTCTCTGCACCACATGCATGTTTGGTATATGAGGAGAAGAAAAGAGGGTGCTGAATTCCTTGGAACTTCAGTTACAGACAGTAATAAACTGCCCTGTAGATGCTGGGAATTGAACCCCTGTTCATTCAAAGAGTTGCTAGGGCTCTAAACTATTGAGTTATCTCTAGTCCCATAAACCATATGTATACACACACATACTACTACACAGAAAACATTTATTAGAAAAAAGCATCTTGTGCAGGGATGTCATGCTTCAAATGTCAGCATGAGGATAAGAAACTCAGTACATGGGCCACCAAGATGGCTCAGCTGGGGAGAGGGCCTGCTGAACTCACTCCCAGTACCTACCCCTAACTGCCACACAGAAATAAATGCACAAACAAATGTGGGCCAGTGAAATGGCTTAGCAGATAAAGGGCTTGTTCACTCACTTGAGGTCAATCCCCTGTCCCTGGAGAACTGGCTCCCACAAATTGTCTCCTGACCTCCACTCATTGGTGTGGGACATGCACACAAAATGAACAGATATGAAAATGCAGTAGGGAACTCATTACAGGTCCTTTCTATTTATGGATTTTATATTTATGGATCGAAACCTTGGAAACAAACTACTTGAAAAAGTATCTCAATAGTGAAAAATACATTTTTTCCTCCTATCTTTGTCCTGTACTCAACACAGTAAGACTAGGGTCTATGCAGTATTCATATTAGGCATTGGAAATAATCTAAAGAAGATCGGAATGTGTTGAAAGAAGTGTAGAGTAACATGAATATTTTACTAGTTTCTGAGGGTTGACTATGTGACTGACTCAGACCCTAAACTCTTAATCACTTTGCATTTTTATTTGCTCTATTGACATCTATTGTTGTTAATATTGACCGGGTCTCACAATGTAATCTGAGATGGCCTTTACTTCTATGCTTCCTGCTTCATACTCTCTCTTTTGGGACAGGGTCTCTGTGTAGCTTTGTGCCTTTCCTGGGACTCTGGCTAACCTCAAACTGGCTACAAAACCACAGTGGTTGGGAAATCTCAGAGACCCAACTGTCTCTACCTCTGCTGTGCTGGGATTAAAGGCATGCAGCACTCTGCTCACCTTGCTTGGTGTGTTATCATGAGATTAACATGCATCTATCACCAAGCTGGCTGTATTTGTATCTTGAGCCATGTTTTTCTCTTTGTGACTTTGACCCATTCTTCACTCTTTTGATAAAGAAACTGCCCCCACCCCCAACACTATGGAGAAACAAGGGAGGTGAGTTCACTCACCTATTATATCCAGCTGGATGGGGTCACTCCTCTTGGAACTGACTTCATTGGATACTTCACACTGATAGTCCCCGGAATGTGAACTCCTCGCAGAGTATATTAGGAGGGTGCGGTTGTTCTGTGACAGCTCCATCCTCTCTGTGAGCTCCACACTCTGACCATTGAAGAGCCAATGGATGGAGATCCCAGTGTCGTTTGACAAGCAGGTCAGGAACACAGACATCATATCTTTGAATGTGGAGTTGGTGACTTGGATGGAGGGTGGAGTCACTGGCTCTGTGGAAAAATAGTGGAGAAGACCAGCTGAGAATCCTTCACCCTCAGAGATCTCATCCAATTCACAGGGCCCGTAGAATGAAAGGGCACAAAGAGAGCATCCAATTAAATAAAATCAGAAATGAAAAGGGATACATGACAATAAACAAAAGGAAAATCTAGAGAATCATTAGGTTACTCCTCAAAAACCCTACTCCACAAAATTGGAAAATCTAAAAGAAATGGAGAATTTTGTGGATAGGTACCATATACCAAAATTACATCAAGACCAGATAAACAATTTAAATAGACCTATAATACTTAAGGAAGTAGTAACAGTAATCAAATCTCCCAACCAGAAATGGCACAGGACCAGAAGATTTCATCACAGAATTCTACCAGAATTTCAAAGCAGAGCTAATACCAATATTCTTCAAATTGTTCCACACAATAGAAACAGAAGGAACATTGCCAAACTTTTTATGAGGCTACAGTCACCCTGGTAAACAAACCACACAAAGATGCAACAAAGAAAGAGAATTGAGGCCGGGCGGTGGTGGCGCACACCTTTAATCCCAGCACTCGGGAGGCAGAGCCAGGTGGATCTTTGTGAGTTTGAGGCCAGCCTGGGCTACCAAGTGAGTCCCAGGAAAGGCGCAAAGCTACACAGAGAAACCCTGTCTCAAAAAAAAAAGAAA